CACAAGTGTTACGACTCAGGGTCATTTACCAACCTAAAGAGCTTTGATAGGAGTCATGGATCTGTGACCCAGAACAAACAATAACAAGTAAGTGTGGTCCAATGACCAGAGTGTAGAATTCCTGGCAAATTACTTAGATGTCATTGATGATTCCCACATTACTGTGCACTTTTGGAAACTGGCCAGGCAATTGCATGCATAGGAAACACACACACACACACACACACACACACACACCTGTTGTGGTTTAGTTGCTTCTGATTCATAACATCCTCATATGTCTCAGTAGAACTGCGCTCTACAGGATTCTTACTGACTACAATTTCTCAGATGTAGGTTACCAAGCCTTTCTTCTAAGGTGCTTCCAGGTGGATTTGAACACTCAATATTTCACTTAGTATACAACATCAGCACCCAGCGCCTTCCAGCTGATTCTGACACAATCAATCTATCAAGGGTTTTTGAGGCGGTAAATCTTTATGAGAACAGTTAGCCTCATCTTTCTCCTGTGGAGTGGATTATGGGTTTGAACTACAAACTCTGAAGTCAGCTGACGAATGCTTACCCACCAGCACCACTGGGGCTCACTCAGGAGGGCGTGCTTACCCATTTGAACCAACCAGACACCACAATGTGGAGAGGCACCTGCATAAATTAAAGAATTGGCAGGGGAACAGGATGTAGCTATAAATATACCAGGCCTAGTCCACATCAGTACTTACATTGCCAGGGAAGACTGGCATGCATAGAAAGGGCAGGGTTTGCTCCATCACTGTGATTCGGAGTTTTCCCAAATCCGGTGATGGTTCCAGAGCTATGAGCTGTTCTCACTGCTGTCCCACTACTTCAGTGTCAAGTCCTGACAACCCACGAGACGTGGTCTCTCATGACCAGGCAGTGATTGTTTTCTTTTGTGCACAGGGTGGCTGTGAGATGGTAAGAACACAATGGCACTTAACAATAGCATAGCCAATAAAATGCAGACAGGCAATTAATCTGTTAGAAGAAAGCGCCTACATTTTCCTGAGCTTGTCATCACACAGTGGTCCACTGCAGCTGCTTCGAGATACCAAACCCCGAAAAACAAATCCACTGCCAGTGAAGGGTGAGTCCATTCTGACTGACAGAAACGTTCAGGATAGAGTGGAACATCCCTGTAGAACCTTCAAAACTGTAAATCTTTACCGAAGTCGTCTGCTACAATGTTTGCCCATGGAGAGGCTGGTGGGTGCCAACTGCTGTATTTGGGGTTCGTAGTCAAGCGCCGAACCAATGGACCAAACATTTGATTGGGCTGAAAAATAATACAAGTGGCATCTATATTCACATCTACACAAAATCCAAGAAGCTATGGAAACCTCAAGCTACTTCCACAACTCCTTTAGGATGCTGTTTGAATTGTACCATGTACAGTATCCTAGGCCTGATTTTGTTAGAGTCTCTGGATATACTAGGGTTCTTCTCTCTAATGAAGAATTGCTTTCCCTGTCAAATTTCGGGCCAGGCTTGCCACCTGAGGGCCTTTAATAGCTAAGGCTAAGGTGTGTCTACACCAGTGTAAGGCCCTCAACAAGATGCACTGACACAGTGGCTGCCACAATGGGTGCAGACATAAGAACAATGATGAGGATAGTGTAGGGCTGGACCGTGTTTCCTTCTGTTGTACACAGGGTCACTATTAGTTGGACCAGACTTGACAGCACCTGTCAACAATGCATGCCGGTTTGACTATGGTAGCCTAATAAATAATTGACTTTCAAGGAGAAGGAGGAGGAGGAGGAAGAGGAGGAAACCTTGTTTGGTTGAATTAATCAATTGTTTTCATATGTAACTTATTCAACTTTTTTATATTAAAAAAATCTGTATATAGTAAATCCATATAAAGCCAACATTTTCCCCTGTCATATAAGCCAATTAATAAGTTACCTATAAAATCTGCCATTCTGGTTCTGGCACCTTGTCACTCAGAGCACTGATATTACGAGTGGAGGTAATGGTGTTTATGCTCATCAATACACATTGCCTGTGAAATCAAAAGTATTTGGAAGGCTGATTTATCTTTTTATTCCCAGAGTAAAGTAGATGCGCTTGTTTTGTTTTCACCGTTGGAAAAGGACAGCTTAGCTACATTCAAAAGCCAAATGCTAACATTCCATTCAAAACTGCAGCCCAGGGCTATGCAGTGCTTCCTTTTGCAGGGGTGTGCATTGTATGACACAGAAAGACCCCGGGTTCCCGAAGCTTCCGTCCGACTGTTGAAGGCTAAGAAAAGTCATTCCCCTGAGGGATACTGCCTTAGTCCCATTTCCTTGGTTACATAATGGCATGCTGGTTGTGCCCATAAGAAAATATGCCCACCTAGAGTCCTGCAGACCCTTAAAAGAGCATCCATCTGATTTTACAAATGAGAGTCAAAGAACAGCATAACAATGGAGGTAAAGCGCTATTTCAGAACATGATCATCTGAAATCTGGAATAGTCTCTTGAATCAGACAGATACATGTTGAGCCGTGGTCAGAGAGAAGAGTTGCAGTTTTACTGCCCCAGCGAGCTACTGTGTTGCAGTGTGTAGGAACGATCTACTTAGAAAAGACAGATTTCCCTGCTCTTCCCTCCCACACGTGGCCACGGAGCCTCACTCACTTCCAGTGAGCTATGCCATTGAGTTTCACTCACAGAGTGTTGCTTAAATGGCATTTCATAAAGATGGAGATTTCAACACCTTGGGGCATCTCTTTGGGACCCTTTCAAAATCCTTGGTCTCTCTTATTTTATAAACCCGGAGGGTAAGCACTAGACCATATCCTGTAAAAATAATGTGCATAATTCATAGAACCGAGGAAAAGGGCCTTGTGGAAAACACTGGGACTATTCATTGTGTAGTGCTATGGGTGCCCTCCCCCGCCCGACTCCCCGAAGCAGAAGTACAGCAGGAGGAGAGAGACCTGCAGTGTAAACCAGTCCTTTATGGGAGCAGACATATGAATACTATACTCCAGATTTTTCATTGCAATTGCTTTTGCAACATATGTACAAATGTATGTCTTAAACCATTCTAATCACTTCCCCACCCATATGTCATTTGGATAGTGAAGAATATATTCATCAAAGTAGATTGCTGGCAGGAAGCACTGATTTTTTGTGACTACAACAAAATAAATAAATAAACAAAACATCAGTGTGTTCTCCGATGCTCCCTCTCTGTGTATGAGTGTGTGCTAAGTATTCCTGCATTTCCTTCCATGTAAATTGAAGATACTTCGGAGAGTCCAGTCCTTTTGTAACTGTGATATTTTGCAACTCAAACATCAAGAGCTAGCTTTGCCCCAATGCGGGAGCCTGTCATTCAGAATGGCAAAAGATTTTCAAAGCAGTCAACTTTATACAATGCATATAAAATCAACTAAGCTACGGACGGACGCCTAGTCTTTCTCCCCCAAAGCCTTCATGGACCGAGATGGCCACATTTACATTAAAAAAGAAAATGACCCCGTTGGCAAATGCCCTGACCAGTTCCGCTCCATAGCCAGGGAGAACCGATCCGGAAGACTTTGGGGGCGG